TCGTGACCGACAAGTCAATATACCCTTCTGGAGAGACCGATTCTCCAGAGAATCCAACCAAGGGTGTCAGACTCTTCTTCAGCTGCGACCTGGTCCATCCTAAGGCAAGATATGTTGGAAGGGACAAGATGTTGGCAGATGCGCCTTCATCTACCAGTACTCTTCGGACCAGGACGTGATCGATGAGAGGAGCGATCACGAGCGCGTCATTATGGGGCAAATGGACCCCCTCCAGGTCGGCGTCGTTGAAAGTAATGGAGGAGGTCGGTCTCTACTCCCTAATGAAGCACACCTCGCGCCTGGCTTCGCGAGCTAACTCATTTCCTTTATTTCCAGATTGACCCCCACTTGGGCCCCCGAAAATGGTGTTGATGACCGCAGGTGGGTCATCTCGGCGAGGTGGCGTCCTCGAACGCTTCCTTTCTTCTTTCTTTTCCACCTAGTTGGACCTCGGTTTGCCAACGAACTTTTTGAAGTAGCCATCTTGAATGAGGTCTTCAATCTGGCGCTTAAGTTCCCAGCAGTTTGACGTATTATGGCCGTGATCGCGATGAAAACGACAATATTTATCTTTGTTGTGCTTCTCTGGGTCTCCTCGGAGCTTCTCAGGTGGCTTGAGAAGCTTTTCCATCCCAGTCTCCTAAATATTTGTAAGTATTTCAGAGATTGGGATGGTGGTCGGAGTATAACGCTCATAAAGTCGGCTCCGACTGGGGCCTTTATCCGACCTTCGGCCACTGGAGGAAGATGACCCCCTGTCCTTGGACTTGGACTCAGCCTTCCTCTTCTCTTGGCTGGGCTTTTTCTGGTCAATCTGCTTCTCAGGTCGGTCAGTTTTGGTTCGGAGAAGTTCCTGCCCGTCAATGACTTTTTTAGCTTTCTGCAGTACTTCGGCGAAAGTGCCTGGAACTTCTTCTCCGAGCTTCACGGTTAAGGCCTCATCGGCCAGGCTGGTGAGGAAGTAGCACATGATCAAGTCATCGGAGCAGTGCGCGACCTTCAGCTGCTCCTCCTGGAACCTTGTGACATATTCTTTCAGCGTCTCTCCTTCCTTCTGCCTAATGGTGGCGAGGTGAGTCGCTGTTTTTCTATCATAATGTCGAGAAGAGAATTGACTAATGAACTCCTTTTTCAGCTGGGTGTAGGTCGAGATCGACCTGGCCGGCAGTCTTCGATACCACAGGCGCGCGCTGCCGGTGAGCGCGATCTGGAAGGCACGACACTTGATTGCATCTGTTGCCGCCTGAAAGTCCATGAGGCCTTCGAAGACCTCAACATAGTCTTTTGGGTCCTTAGACCCATCATAAGGCTTCATGGTAGGAGTTTTGAACTTTGAAGGGATTGAAGCCTCCAAGATGTCCAAGGTGAATGGCGATTCTCCCAGGTCGCCATCATCGAACGAACATTCTTTTTTCTCGCATCTAGCCTTCAGGGCTTCAACCTGAGCATCGAACTTGCTCTTAAGCTAGTCGAACTCCTCTCTTGTGATCACTCCCTCGGGAGTTATCGGGTTGTAAGAAGATTCAGCTTGCTGGTTGGAATTCTTGTGCGAGCAGGATGGAGATTGTCCCTTTCGGAGGGACGAGCTTCTTTTTCTGTTGAGATGGTCGCGAAGATCGCCTCTCTGATGAGTGTACTCCTCATCTTCGTCTCCTCCAGGGTGCTCTTCATTGACTGGGTCAAGGTGCAGACCTGTTTGCTCGCACACCGCCCGGTCTTCTGATCGAGACCCAGCACTTACGGCTTGCACCATCTCGTTGTACATTTCCTCCATGGTGCACATCTGGGTGCGCATTGCCTCCATTTCTTTTGGAGTGCATCAAAATTCTCCCTGGTAGGAGCTGGGGCTGCTCCTCGAGGCACCACCTCGGCCGCGATTGGCCTTGGACGATTTTGGATGTGCCGGTGGTAGAACGAGCATGGTGATGCGTGCCGACCTACGGAGCGGCTCAGCCCCAAGGCCTTCATGAATCTGGCCCTCTGCCACTTCTACTCCGACCTCCCTCTGGTGACCATCATTGGCAGCCAAAGCTCTTCGGTCTGCAGTGTTGGTTGAGTTTGCTGATTGAACCATCCTTGTTCACGCTTTTTAGATCAGGATGACTTAAGATGTCCTCCCCACAGACGACACCAAATGTTTATGCAAAGAATTACACAACGCTATTAACCGAACCAAGCTCGAACCCGGTCCCTGGCTTGACCCAAACTCAAGAGTGAACCTGCATAAGAGGGCAAACGCTCCGACGCTCAAGTTAGTATAGGTCGAACTCAATATTTAGCTCGAGGTGAGATTCGATACTTGAGCGTGAAATGAGGCCCTCTATTTATAGGTGGTGGATCCGACAGTACTCACGACCGGCGGTTATATGTTTTTTCTCATGTCAAACATGTCGGGTTCCGAGCAGATCGTACCCCAATCAGGTCGAACCTCGACATGTTACACTTAGTCTTTTTCAATGGGTGAACCCAATCACTTCTGCAGGTTCGAGGTGGACCTGAGATATTTCATTGCTTGAGCTTCAATGAGTGCCCTCCACGTGTTCAAGGTATTTTTATCGCCAAACAAAAAGAAAACAGAATGTTTAAAAAATGTTGGGGGAAGAAAAGGAAAATGAATGGAAAGAAAACAGAAGTGTCAGAAGGAAAAAAAATAAAGAAAAACACAAATTGTCGGCAAAGAAATGAAAAGGATATAGATTGTATTTATTAAAAAGTGAAGGATAATTTTGTCCATAAAATGTTTATTTCACATTCGTACTTTTTAATATATACAGATTAGTAACTAGAATAAATTCAACTATTCTTCATAAAAAAGACAAAAAGAAAAAAAAAGAAAAATGAATAATGTACACTGCAGCAATATCTAAACATGAACATAGCTCAACTAGTTAAGGAATCTACTGCTCCTAAAAGGGCTGTGAGTTTCCAATCTGCACTCCAACGCGTTAAACTAAACAAAAAAAGAGAAAAAAAAATTATAACCATTGATGCAAAAGGAAATCGTAAAAAAACAAAACAAAAAGGTAAACTATAGGTTTGATTCGACTTTTAAATTGGGTTTATTTAGTCTTGGTTCTTAAATCTTGTCTATTTAGTACACGTGCTTTAAGAAGTTTCCAAAAGACCAATAAATTTTTCATTTCGTAACTTACATATTCTTGTTGTTAACTTTTTTTTTTAATTTGAGCTTATACCCAAAAATATAGGGTACTGGATTTGAACTTCTAATTTTTTTTAAAAAAATGTATACTGGAAATAATATAGATTTATTAGACACAAAATTGAAATTTTAAATTTAAAGATATATTAAAAAAAATTTAAAGTATACCAATTGGTTTAGCTTAATTATTTTTAAATTAAAAAATATATTAAATAAACACAATAAAAAAAAGAAATTACTGATATTCAACTTTCTAAGAAGAAAAAAAAGATGCTAGCGTGTGAAGGAATGAAGGACAAGGGCAATGTAGATGAACAGCGCGGAAGGAACCAAAGTGATCAAAGGGACGGCGGCGGCCGCCGTCTCCCACCGACCGCAACCGAACTTCCCAAGCTTTATCTGAACCAAATTCAGCAGTGCCGCCACCAAGAACCCGCACCCGAGAATCGACCCCACCGCCGACACCACGATCCCCACGCGCAGCCCCAGCGCGTGCGCCACAGCCTCGCCGCCACCTCTGCTTATTCGGATGGCCTGCTTCAGCGCCGACGCCACCAGGCTGGAGAAGAGGAAGCAGCTGAACGAGTACACGTGGCAGGCGATGAGGCTCTCGGCCACAGCGGCCCTGGCGGCGCACGGCCCGTCGTCATCGTCGGCGAGAAGGTTGGCGGCGGGGTCGGCGGTGGGGTACCAGGCGACGCCGAGGAAAACGGCGAAGGTGAAGAGGGAGTTGACGTTAACGACGCCGTCCAAAGCCATGACGTGGATTCTGGTGGACGTGAATCGCCCGCCGGACATGTCAAATACCAAATTCTAAATCAAATTAAAAAAGAAAAAACAACATTTAATTAATTTGATTCCATTTTTGTAATCTGAGTGGTGGGGGTTTGTGTTTCTTGGAAGCAATTGAAAGAGTGGCGTCCAGTCCAAGTAAGAAACAAAAACTGTTCATTAAATTTCTAAAGGACACTTCATTTTCCCTGTGGGATTTCATAGGCAACCTCCTAATCATTTCTACCAATTTCTTTTGCCATTATGTTGCTTTTTTAACAAGAATAATACTTAGTACTGATGACTAGATATCCCTTATTTAAATAACGTATGAATACTATGGTTCGAGTAATATTTGAGTAAACGTAAGTTTTATTAATGTATCCGATTGAAGAAGGTACGTGTCTAACCCTTGACTCGAACCAAAAAACCCAACTAGTCTATATATTTACAAGGTCGATAGTAATAATTATAGAATATATGGTGTAATATGTATTGTTATACATATGTCACGTGTGTAATTGAATGAGTTAAAAATGAAATCCAATTCGAAAAAACAAAAACAAGGTACGAATAATAATTAAAAATAATAATTGAAATAATAAAGAGGAAAATAGGAAAAAGTGAAAAACATAATGAAAATTCAAATCATAATAAAATGAAATTGTCAAAACGAGCCTAACTTAATTACATATATGTTGGATCCCACCTCGTACTAAAAATAATAATAATAAAAATAAAATTCTAAGAGATTCGATTTTCCGGTTCAAATTTGCAACTAAAAATAGAGGAGCTGTAATTTGAAAATGTAAATTAGGGAAACATATAAACTATTATAAAGCTGGAAGGGCAAAAGTGGAAGGAATCGTACAAACAATCTACTCCAAATATTCCATTTAGCCATATTTGAAAATTATGCAACTTTTTGTCAATTTTCTTAACAAACCAGTAAATAGAGACGCTCACTCTAATTCTTGATACTATTTGCAGAAATTGACGTTGGGTCATATATATATTTCACTTAAACTTTCACAACTTACATCATACACATTACCTTATTTAATTATCTATCAATTATGATTGGATTTAAAAAGATAAAATTGTAATATACAAATTACAATTCCTGTCAGTCCCAATCCTCTATCCTCCACGAAATCGCTCCCGTCCACCATCGCACATTCCTGTCGTCCCAATCATCTCATCCTCTTCTCCTCTACCAAATCTCTCCTGTCTACCATCGCACACGACGACTCCGGTGAGACAACCCAGCCAATTGAGATTCCAATCCAATACAATTTTCACTAATTTTTAGAATTTATCATATATGGAAGGTTCGTCCTTGTCGAGTTCCATCAATGATTTTGTAGAAGCTAACATGGTGGCCAATTGAGTGGAGAAATTACGGCCCATATAGTATTCACTATAAAGATTGTCGAACAATTGAACTTCATTTGGCTTTTTGTCCCTTAGTCTCAAATTAATTAATTAACTAATTAATGTTTTGATGATAACAAACTTAATTTTGTTATTTGACAATTTTGATATTTGAAGTGTCCATAGCGTAAAGCTCAATACGACGATTCCAACGGATTCTGAATTACCCAAATCGAAGTTCAAATGGAAAAATTATGGACAAAACAAGCTGGAAGGAAAAATATCAAGGTAGATGACGTGGTGACTGAGTCATTATAACAAGTCATTGAAAAAGCGCAATTTGTATAGATCAACAAAATAGAAAGAGCAAAAAAAAAATGAAATGAAAAAGAACAAAAGAAAGAAGAAAGAAATGAGAAGTAAAGAAAAAGAAAAAGAAAAGGTAAAGATAGAAAAAGAAAAATATATATATATAAAGTCACCTGCGAGAGGTAACTTGTTAAAAAAAATAGAAAAAATAGAAAAAAAGAGAGAAAATTGTCACATCAAATTTAAGAGGCCGACGTGATTGGTAAAAAAAAAAAAAGAAAGAAAAGGTACCGTTGATTTTTTTATTATTATTTTATTTCATTAAATCTTTTCCTTTAATTTCTTTTTCCTATTCTTTAAACCCCTCATTCTCTCAAAATCAAACATCAATTTCTCTCACAAAATTTCTTTACGTTTCTTCTCTCCAAAATTTCAATGTTTTTATAATTTTTAGTGAAAGAAATTTTAAATTTGAGAGATCTTTGAACTATTCAATTTTACTTCTCATAACCATTTGAGAGCTTTTATTACTTCTCATAACCATTTGAGAGCTTTTATTTCGTAAGAATTTTGCATACAAAATTTGTGAGTTAAATATGTATATCTACTCTTTGTGAAAGTTTGCAACCTTGTTATTCGTTTTTCAAATCTATTGTAAGGGTTACTCTTCATCCTGAAAAAAAGCATTGCAACAATTTGATCCTGAATCGTAGAAAGGATCAAGTTTCTTCTTGCTCTCGGAAAAAGAATTCTTTGTAGCGGTTTGACTCATAACGTGGAAACAGTCAAGTTTTTTCTATTTAATTTTTGCAATTAATTTTCTTTATTACAAATTGTATGAAATTAATTGCTAAAATTTGTTATTCGTGTTTATGGTCAATATTTACATTTGGATTAATTAGGGTATTTGAAATTTATTTATAATTTATTGATTAATGTTGTGTTAAAATTATTTATTAGTAAAAAGTTTACATAATTGTTTAAATTGGGCCCACTGTGTTAAAAAGTTTATAAAATTTAATTAAGCCCCCTATTCACCTCCTTTAAGATTATCATGCCGATCCAACACCTTCATCGAAATGGTGAGAACACTTTGAGAAGATTGTAGTAGAACGTAGATTGATAATTGTGACGACTCTTATTTAATTGGCAGATAGGGGTTTTCCATATGATGAAATCTAGAATCACCAATGCACCTTAGACTTAGAAGGCTCAGTAATTATATAGAAAAGGAGAAAGAGAGGTAGAGAAACCTTTCAAGTTCCATAATTAATACTTAGACGATGACTTTTAGAGTGAGGGAGAGGAAGAAAAAACATTTCAAATTCCATAAGTAAATACTTAGTTAAATAGATGCTAAAACTTTTCATATTCTAACATTTTAAATGCAAAATTAAGTGAAATAGAATTTTACAAGACAAAAAAGAAAAGAGTAAAAAATTATTTGGGTGGGTTAATTTGAATAAGAAATTTGGATGAGTAGGGAAAGAATTAATCCAGAGTGAACGAGAAAGAAATATAATAAGAGGATCAAGAGAGAGAATCTTGTAGAGAGATAATTAACTTGTGAAAATTAGAGAGAACATTTTGAAAGGAAAAAAAAAGGAGAGATGGGGAAGTGGCGTAAGAGTCTGGGAGAGAGGAAGCAAGTAGGATAAATAAATTTGTCTCACTTATAGCCATTTTTATATATAATATAGATCTATATATATGATATTTTGCGAATGTCAAAATTTTTAAATATTTAAAAATTTAGATTTTTAAGAATTAAATAAGTTTCTTTTTCTCTTAAATTGCCTCCAATAAAGGTCATTATATTGCATTAATTATTATATTTTAAAATGTATTATTTCTTAATGAGAAGTGATGTTCATTTAATACAAATGTTCACATTAATGATTAAATTATTGTATTTTAATAAATAATTAAACAAATATAGTAACTAATGAATGCACTACTAGAAATATGGGTTTCAATGACAGTTTAAAATTGTCATTAACTTAATTGATGATAGTTATATAATTGTCATGGATTTAAGTTATTAAAAAAGAGGATAACATGATAGTTTTTTAATTTTGTCATTAATACATTTACAACTACAGTTATAATTTGTCATGAATAAATCTTCCATCACAATTTTAAAATGCCACGAAAACTTAATTGATGATAATTTATAAGTGTCACTAAAGCTATAAAAAATTTTGTTCTCATGTCAACAATAACTTAATGACGATAGTTTATAATTGTCACGAAATGCTTTCTAACTATAGTTTATAATTGTTATAAAATGTATTTTAACGACAATCTATAATTGTTGCAAAATATTTTTAATGTCTATTTATAAACGTCAAGAAAGTCATAATAAGAGATGATGTCTTTGGAGAGCTGTTTTAGAAAGTTATTTACACAAATGTCTAAATTTTTCTAATTTTACACTTTTAGATTTCTGGATTTTATTTTAATTCCGATTTTACCCTTATTTATTGCATTTACATTTATTATAGTTATTTGTTTTTTTAAATATAAAAAATTTAATTCCATAAATTATTGTGGGTCCCATACTAATTTTCAAGACAAATCCCTTATTTTACTCATTCAAAACCTTAATTTACTCCTTCAATAAGATTGATTTTCCCTTAATTCACTCCCGTATTGGTGCTCAATCTTCAAAGACAATTCAAAATAATAGAAACATCTTTTTGAAATCTCCATAAACATATATCCGCACATTAAAAAAATATATTCAAAATCACAATATATATCCACTTATATATACGCATATATACATTCAAAATCACTATAGTATATATATGCATATACAAGTTGAGTTATAAGATATATCCATTTATATATCCACATATATACATTCAAAATCACTATAGTTTATATATGCATATCCGCATATATACAAGTTGAGTTATAAGATATATCCTAATAAAATCACTATACTATATATCCTCACATATACAATATTTCACACCAAATCAAAAATTTAAAACATGAATGCAAACCTTTCAATCTGGAGATGAACTGCTCTGACGACTGAGAAAAATAGAGGCAGTTGAAGATAAAGGCAGGCAAACGTCGGCCGAAGATGAAGGCAAGCAAAAACGCCCGGAGAATAAGAACCGACGAAAATCTCTTTTCGAACGCGGTTGGAGATGAAATGCTCTTGCGACAAAGAAAAGCCGAGCTGGTCGGAGACGAAGGTAGAAGGTCGGAGAAGAGGAACGGAGGATCGGAGGAAGGAAAACCGACGGTCGGAGAAAGAAGAAAGAGGTGGGTTTTGAAAATGGATGGGTTTTTGGGTTTTGAGATTTTTTAATTTTGGAAAGTATCATTAGCACATTTTAAAGGATTTGACCTCCCA